ATGTTATTTATTTATTTATTTATTTATTTTGGCTCTCGAGACAGTGTCAGGCGTGCAGGGGGCAAAGGGAGAAACAGAGGGGGTAAAGGAGTCATGGGAAAGAGAAGGTGGGGATTTTGACTAAATATATTTTTATATTAATCTTTGTATTTTAAATTAAATTTAAGTCTTCTACATATAAACCACATAAGTTTTATGTATTTATATATATATATAATAACTAACTTTTATATTTAGGTAGATGACACTCAAGATTGTAAAATTATATTAAAAATGTCATTATTTTCAGTAAAAAGTGTAATGCCAGTTTTGGATGCTTGAGTTTCTACAGGGTTATGAATATAAATACTAAATTTTAGATATTAAATATGTGAGTATGTAAGAATAAAGTGCTATGTATGTAAATATCCCGAATATTTAAAGATTCTGAAGTACATTGTTAAATTATTTCTTAAGATTTGATCTATGAAGAGTTAATCTCAAACTAAATATCTATTTGAAAATTTATATTTTCAAAGTGGGCAATTAAAACTTATATATATATATATATATATAATAGATCATTCAAGTAATTATGATTTAATTTAATAACATGTATGTCCTGATGATTGAACTTTTAATTGAAACATTGACATTGAATATTTTCTTTAACTAATTCAGTTTGATCCTATTTTATGAATTTTTGGTACAATGCCATTTAATAGGCAGCTGCATTGTCAGTTGGAAGTTCCCCTGACCTAAGTTCGATTGCCATAGGGACAGATAGCGCATTATATATTTATATTTATATATTTATATATATATATTATTTATTTCTTTGCTCCACCCACTCTTGCTTTAAGGAGCACTATCAAATCAATAAGATAGATTAGTTCAGGTTATACATTATTTATTTATTTATATTTAAATTATAGAGCACAAATATTTACATTTAGGAATCCTATGTAATTTTTTCATATTTTAATATAATTTATGAAAGATCATTTGATGAAGAATACCATCCATACATAATCTCTGCATTTAATATGATTAAAGCATTGCACAAAACCAAAGATCACTAGCGGTTTTAAGTAGGGCTGTAAGAAGAACCCGTTCTTCGCAAGTAACTCGGATTTAACTTGTTAAGTACTTCGTGTTCGAATTATTTGTTAGAAACTTGAATTATAAACGAGCCAAACACAAATAATTATATGTTCAATGAAATTAACTTGTTTAAATTAATTAAAAAAATAAAAAAAATTATGTATATTATTTATATAATAATATATATCTATATATTTATATCTAAATTTAAATCATCATAGTTCTACGAACATTTAATTCTACATCTTTTATTGTATTACAATGGTTCATGTTTGAATCTAACACACTCTTTATTTTCCTAATTAATTTAAACGAAATAATTTCAAGCTGAACATAAACATTTATATCGAGACGATCAATAATACACTGTTAACGAGTAATTTTGAACATAACAAATCAAAAACAAAAAGACCAAATGAGACTTGTTGCTTACAATGAAACTGAGCCAATTTCGAGCAAGCTAAACACGGGCAAAGTCTGAGCTCGCTCAACTCTAGACAATTTTATATCAATATATTTTATCAAAAAAATTAACAAACTGCAGATAATTCAATCATAAAACATATAAATAATCAATGGGATCAGCCAACAAAAGGGTACTGGAAACATAGAAATAAAAAATAACAAAAATCAGGGATATAAAATTAAAATTAAAAATATAATATGAAAATATTATGAAGTAAAAAAAAGGAAGCAAGAACTAAGAGCAAAAGCTCCATTCCGTTAAGTCACAGTAATACATGAGATGTGGCAACCAACCTCTTGTTTTGGGGAAGCTATCAGACCTTATATATATGCTGGGCCATAATTAGGGCAAATTCGAGCGACGGCGACAATGCGGCATTTGTGCTGAGTTCATCGTCTAGTGGCTCGCGACTTAGGCCTGGATGATTTCTGCGAGTTGATGAAGATACATATGTGAAATGAGAAGTAGAAATAAAGACAATAAATAAAAGGGAAAATGCAATTCCCTTGTATTTACTGAGAAGTAGAAATAAAGACAATAAATAAAAGGGAAATTTATATACATGCAATGCAATTCCCTTGTATTTACCTATCTAACACCTAAAATTTGTTATTTGCATTTATGACACTTTGGTGTTATGAACCCATGCATGAAAAGGTGTGCGACACTTTTAGAAAGTTAGCGGTAGCAGTATGTTTGATGTCATATTAAAGATTAGAAGGTTATGTATGTAAATATGAAAGCTTAGATATTAGATACGTGAATATGTAAAAAAATTGTGATATGTATGAGTAAAACATTGAATACTTAGCTACAATGACGCACAATTGCTTTATCACTTGAAAGCTTAGATATTAGATACGTGAATATGTAAAAGAATTGTGATATGTATGAGTAAAACATTGAATATTTAGCTACAATGACGCACAATTGCTTTATCACCCACTTAGAATGTTCAATCGAGTGCCAATTGACCAAAAAAAACCAGGTGATTTTACAATTTCACTTGTTAACCACGCAATGCATGAAATTGCAATTTAAAAAAAAGAAGGGGAAATATGATGATTTTATTAACACTGGGAATATGAATGCAAAAGGAAATGGACAGAATGAAAAGAATCACTTACAGATGTTGCACCAAAGCTAGCCCCTGAACCAGTTGCAGCGCCTACAAAACAAATGAAATAGAAAGCTTTGAAAGGAGCAAAAGATGAAAGAACAAGTAGTTTATAAAGTTTTATTTGTTTATTTATATGATAACATTAAATCCGACGGATATAAATTTATCTAGGGAAAAAAAAAGGTTTAATTAAAATTAGGAAGATTAGCGTACAGACCCCTAAATTCTTATGTATTTACATATCTAACAATTAATCTTCAATTTTTAAATATATACCACCTTACTTATGCATGAAAAGCGTACTTTTCTTTTTAAAAGTTAAAATGATGGTATCTTTTATGTGATATGAAAGATATGTGGTAAAAATGTAAAAAGTAAAGTTTACGTGTTAGATATGTAAATATATAGGAATTGCGTGCAATATATGTAAATGCCCCCTTAAAATTATGAGAGAGAGAGAGAGGTGTCGTTTAAGCATTTTTCTACAAGGGATAACAACAAATGGAATAGTCCAGCAGAGTAAACGCATAAATCAAGAAACTATAAAGTTTCTAAACAACAAACAAAAAAGTTAAGAGAAACTAATTCAGCAAGGAAAAAGAAGGTTAGGAAAAAAAGGGAAAATTCCAACCGAATCCACGCATACATCAATAAAACTATCAAAGTTTCAAAATCAAATTCATCAGACTTCAGAGAATTGGTGAAAACCTTGAATAATATCACATGCAAGCTCACATTCATGAAAGGATGTGACGTCAGGGCTTACAGAGGTACTGTAGCTGCTAGAGTACAGCGAGAGTCGCACCAAAATAATCTCATTTTACTTTCTTACGCTTTATTTCCTATTATTCTTATTCTTTTTTAATCATTTCCTATATATGTATTGTATTAGGATTTGGAAGTCCGTTTTTGGCGTGAGTTTGTTTAAGATGGCTGCTGGAGTCCGTTTCTCCCTTCAAGGGTTGTATCCGAGGGATTGAGTGCTGCCCAGGCTATATCTCTCCCGATGTAGTGATTTTCTTCCCCTAACCCTCCGCATCCTACCCGCTTTGCTGCCTCGCATTCCCCCTCGCTGCAGGTCACCCCGAGAACAGGTCTTTTTCTGTTTTTCTGCAATTTCCTCACCGTTAAGTCCTCTTCCTCGCTGCCCCTGCCCAAAACAGCCTTCTTTTGGCTGTCTGGCAACCCATCACATCCCCCATCACCGTTCCAAACCTCGATCCTCACTGTTATCGCCCCCAACCCGCAGACAACCTTCCTGCCATCCTCCCAGCCCACACAGCCCTCCTCAACAAATGCCGCGCCCTTCCCAGCCTTCACGCAGCCTCTCCCACCGGCTGACCAGCCACCGGCCAGCTTTTGGTCGCATCCTCGATGCAGCTGTCGCCGTTTCCCCCCTGCTGCCATCAACCTGAACAGCCCTCATGTATCGTCCTCCGGCTGTCTAAGATACCGGAGTTAATCCAAACCACAATAAATACAAATATTATTGTTGAAATTCAAAAATATTACAACGAAGACTCATCAAACGGGAAATAAACAAGCAAACACAGCAGCATACAACGGCTGGACAGTAGGTGGGTGGTGGATTGGAAGGTTGCGGCAGCCGCACGAAGGCTAACTAGCTGTAGGCTGGTGGTTGGTCATAGTAGGTTGTACGAGAGAGTGGGGACTAAGGCCGCAGGTGAGGCAAGATATGCGATTACGGACAGCAGGCTGTATGGGGGAGTGGGCCACAGCAGCAGATGGGGGTAGGACGTGGCTGCAACAGCGGTTTGCTGGGAATAGGGAGACAGGTGGTAAGACAAAGTGAAGGCAGGGAGGCTTGCAGTTGGGCTGCGGCTGGGATTGACGGGAAAGGAGCAGGGAGGTGTAGGAGGGAGTTACAGTGGTGGAATAGTGCAACGGGCTGCGGCTGGGTTTGACAGGAAAGGTAGTGGTGTAGGAGGAATTTACGGGAGCGGAATATTGTGGTGGGCTGCAGCTGGTTTGACGGGAAAGAAGCAACTAGAATGGATGATGGCTTACGGCAGGGGGAGGGATTTGGCGCTGCAGACAAAGCAGGTCTGCTGTCTATGGGCCGTTTCCGCGCGCGCATGTTCGAGGGCCCGTTGCAGCCAGTACAGTGGCTGCAGAAGGGAGGTTGTGGAGTATGGCGTGGATCGAGGATAACTATCCACTCGGATCGAGTTACAGCCGGAACACATCTCGAACCCTAGGTGAAGATCATCACCTCGAATGAGTAATATCCGGAGCACTTTCTCGCCCTCAGATACAACCCTAGAAGGAAAAACAGCAGCCAACGGCCGGTTGGACAAAAATATAAAATCTAGAAGGCAAAAACTGAATCCAAAAACAACAAACATATTTATAATAGGTATTAGTCGTTAGAATAAGAGTGAATTAGAATAGAAAGGAAATAGGTAAAGGTAAGGAATGGAAATAGGAAAGGAATAGACGTGGAAGCAGTTTCAGCCTGTATGGAAGGGAGTAAAATATGAAATTGGGAGAGGAAAGAGGTGGCAATTCCAGCCCCCATGAAGGACAGCCAGTTCAGCACCATCCAGCAAGCTTTGTGTCATTCTACTTGTCCGGCCCTGGGAAACCACCACCTTGTTTTCTGATTTCCAACCATCTTTTCCACCCTCGCACCACCTTCCTAGCCCTCATCGACCACCACTATCACCTGGGATCCACCCCTATAGAGTTTGTGTCATGTCAGTTGCTATTTTCTATTTCAGTCTCTGATTGTAACCTTTACTTGTTTTTTAGTAATAATATTTGCTCTCCCTATTATGATTTTGGTTAACTATATATATATATATATATATATACATTGTAAAAGTAAAGAGACTTGTCCACTCTTGTCGTCCTACTAAGACAATAGCTATTCTTAAGCTTTCACTTGAATTAATATAAGCAAATGGCTATCAAACAAAAATAACAAAATTGTTTATTTTCATCAACTATATGAAATCTGGCTAGGAGTTTGGTTTCATCTGTCTTCATAATGGGCGTCCATACAAGAAAAACAGGGTTGATAGAAGCTTTTTAGTGCCACAAAAAGCTGCAGTTTCACTTTTATAAAATATGAGGACCACAAGCACACCTAACAGCTTTACGTTAGTATTCCTATGAGTCAGGCCAATTTTTATAAAAACTTAAAACCCTCCAGAAGCATCAAAACCATCTATTATGAATATCCTGATGCATGACTAAGCACAAACACATCAAACCTTGTCCTCCACCTTTAGCTTTACTTTTATAATGAAAATAAATGTGGTCAAACATGAAATTTTCCCCTTCAAGGAAAACAGTTCATCTCATGGTTGAAACAGTCGCATAAGAAAAATCTTCGAATGAAACAAGCGGAATAATAAAAATGAATGGCACGCAATATCATCCTTAACAATTAGCCTACCCCGACTATTTAGGGCCAACATTCATTTCTATTGATTTTTGCATAAAATGTTAGTTTAGGGATTCTTTTTGCAGGAGTTTCAACCATGCTAACTTTGGTCTACTACTTTTCTTTCAAAATATTTTTAAATCAATTATATCTACTAGTCTCATTTGCATGTTTTCTACCTTCCTTGTACCTACACAAATGCATAAGTTTACTTTTCAATATCTTCAAAAGGTGATACTCTCACTATTCCTTTATAGCCTCAAGGTATTATGGTAATGAAATACTCCTAATGCGCATTTGTTTTAACACTTGTTCGTTTTAAACACTTAAATCTAAAATCAATAAGTTGTATTTTCATCAACGTCTCCATTCTTTCATATAGTAGATCCAAGATATTTAAACCTAATCTTAGCCGCTTATCTTCTAATAACTTTCACTTGTTCTAGCTTTTCAACAACTTCAACAGATGATTCACCACTTAAAATATAAGAAAATATCATGTAACAAAGTACGTAACTTTCTAAATACCTTAATGGGCATTTTTAACAAATAAAAAAGATACAGACTAGTTGTAAACCTTGATAAAATTTTATTATAATCTTTGGTCACCTACCTACTTCTAATACGCTTCAAATTCCAAAATACACATCTTTAATAACTTCAATATACTAATAAATAGAAATTTTATTTTATGCACCCCAAATGAATTTTTACTCGATCATTTGCCATCTCAATATCAACAAATGCATGCAACTAATCCAACAACAACAATAACAAGCCTTTATCCCACTAAGTGGGGTCAGCTACATGAATCTTTTTTCTTCATTGCGTCAAATTGAGTGTCATATTTTCATTTAATTCTAGTAAATTATGATCAACCGACTTCAGCGTTAGATTGCAGACATTGAGAACGAAATTCAATGAGAGACTACCCTCAACTGTGATCTGGAAAGCTGACAAAGAGAACGAGGAGACATGAAGATGAAGCGAGAAACACAGAGACAGTTCCTACCAACTTGCGACCCCCAAAAGTGACAGATTCTAGATTCTGAAGTTGAGAGATTGTATCATCAAGTGGCCTCCCCTTATTACTATCCAGCGAAACTAATCCGTAAAGTCTGTCACAGCCAAAAAATGTTGCATGTGTCACGGATTTGAACATGTGAAAGCAGAATGCACAACCAGGGGAGTGATCTATTTCACGGAAAAAGGCATTGTTGAAACCTGGGGTAATGACACTGTAGACATTAAACTGCAATTCAAAGAAGAACTCTCATCTGATGAAATCTTCTCCCGTGGACCTCCCCGTAGATACATCTTTCCTCCATGTGATCAAAAAGAACATGCAATTTTTTATGAGCTTGTTGTTTCTCCTCTCCTAGAAGATGGAGAACTCTTTGTTGAGAAATAAAGGTCACACAGACTAGAAGATGTCGGAATTTAAAATTTCAACAGATAAACATAATTACAACCAACTGATAACATCAAAGGAAGCTACACTTCCAAACCCCAACCCTAGGGTTCCATATAAAATTTCATATTTTCATTTAATTCCATATATAATGGTGCACCTCCAACTCAGATTATGCCCAAACAGAACAAATTTTCAGGAGATATGCTCGCAAGCGGGAAAAACTTC